CTATCGTCTTCGGACGTTGCACTCCGTCTCACACAAGGGCCATGTCTCGGGAGATCCAATGCCAGGTGTTCCATGGTGGAAAAGTGCTTCATAGCGCAGAATAAGACATCCATGATTTCTCTTCACTTGAAGCGCTGATGAAAGAATCTCGCTAAAGATGGGAACCGCTGAAAATTTTCTAATAATAGGCAATCGTTCAAAGGCGTACTGTCGATTTCTGCTCCAAATTTCGGAAAGACGAACCTTCGACGGAGCGCCCTTGCGCAGATTTGCTGCAGTCTCGGGAGCGCTAGGCTAGAAAGGGAACCCGAGAGGGAGCCTCATCCTTGGACCTTTCTACAGGCAGGGAGTTCTCATACTCGTACGACTACCGCTACTTTACCCGTACCTACTCCCGCAGCCGAGTTGAGGGTGGACACCTTAGGTGGCAATTCCCATAGAAAGTGTCCAACATCAACTGGGCCACGGGAGTATCATCTGGTAAATTGACACAAGTACCCAATAGAAGGTTATGATTCCTGTTTCTCCTTGCGGATCTGGTCTCGGTTTAAAGACCAAAGTCCCCTTGTAAGGCCTACAAGTAGCTGCTCTTACTGAAGAAAAGAAATAGTGAACTTCGGCTAAGAGGCCTCAGCTTTTGTAACCTGCGACTACGGTACGGTAGTTGAGCGTTTGGGAAAATCAAACCTTGCAAAAGAGCTATTAGCCAATTTTACAAGAATGTCTAATACTAGTACTGTACGGCACAAGCATCGGGGGGAGGATGCTCTTCCCAGCCCATCAAGGCAAGGATTATTCCGCAGGTTAACCTAACTTAACTGCTCATTAACTTTCTTTTCGGTACTTGCACTTGCACTAAATACTTGCACAAGTCTGGTAAATACTTGTAAATACTCGTTAAATCCACCACCTCGTGGGGATCGGAGACCTGAAAAAAGTGCTGGTGTTTTTTTCCAGACGGGGTGAAGCTAGGGTAGGCCGAGCCTGCTGGATCTCATCAACCGGCATTCGTAATTTTTTAACCTACTCTGCTGCGCCTATTGGGGTTTAGCACAGCCATTTCCGTTACGCAATCCGATGGTGGATCTAATGGGTTTTTTACAACATACATACTGGATTACAGGTACTGTACTCGTAGGATCTACTCGAGTAGGTTGTTGCGCCTTTTTTTCCTCTTATTTTTTTGATTGATTGATTTGCGCCACCGAGACTCCACGCAGGACCGCCGGGTAAAGCACCGCGCCGAAGTCTTGGGTAGGTGAGCCCCGGCAATGCTATCAGACCTGGAGGTTGACCCTGTTATTTAGGGATCTAGATTTTGCGCCGAGTGGCTCATTTACACCAGACAAACTTCAAGTATGGTATCTCTGCATCAGCATGGATGGCGCTACCATAATTCACTCGTTGATGCTTTGCGGGATAACCCATGATGGGCTATGAAAGAGTCATGGCTGTATCTCATGCGTTGATTGGTTCAACGATACTGACTGAGACTCGCAGCCCCACTTTATGATCAGTCGCTCACAGCTTTTTGTCTTAGGAATATATTCAGAATAGGATAGTCTAAGGAAAAGCATGTAATTCTCTTTTCACTCGTGGATTGTGATATGGCTTCCGCAACAAGCTTTTTGTCTGCATGATCAGCGCTACCGTAGTTCATAGCAACGGATCAACCACAAACATGAGGTGACCCGGCGACCCGAGTCGCTGGTATTACATGAGGGGTGGAGTACCGTACTAGTACAGTATCATACTTGGCTGAAAAGCCTTGGAAACTGCGGTGGCTTATCTCTTTTACTACCTGGTGCCCACCCCTGCAGTTGGACACAGGATTTAAGGTATCCTTTCGTTGTGCCCTCAATGCCCTACGGTACAGTGCCGCATGGTCTGGTATAGCTGCAGATTGAGATTCGGCTCCCCAGGTTATCCATCGCCGTAACTCATTCGACGCTTCCGGCTGACGCTCGGGAGCCGGTTGGTGTGACCCTCGGGTTATACGGCTTGGGCCCCTGTCTGTCCTGATGGATGTGTCTTAGTGCTGAGCGTGGTGCAAGCACCTAATGTTGGGAGAAGCGGCATTCAATAATGGAGCTGGCTAGCAATTCCTTTCGCTGTACTAGTACGGTACTGTACTCGTACATAAGACCCATAAATTCCTTTGGCTCTTGATGTAGAAGGCTCGGATGTTCCAATACCTATTTTCTTCGGCGCCACGAATTGTGCTCGATATAAGGGAAGGATAGCTCCGGAGAGTTCCCTACCCCTCCGCCAGGGTGATATTAATGCAACACGGTTATCTCGGCCAAACATCTTAACTGGCAAGCAACATTAGCCTGGCCAAGTACGAGTAAAGGGGAACAGGGCAATTGAAGATGGGAGACGTTTCGCCGGGAGGGAAGGATCCGAGCCCACCGCAACCAGAGTTTCACGCGTCGAGTTGGTCGTTCCGCGACGAGCAGACTGGAAAATTGAAAAAACGGTGGACAGCAATAGTGGTCGCTGTGGGGGTTCTTTTGACGACCACACTGGTAACTTCGGTCGTGGTCCATTCCTGTGGACTCATGAATAAGAGACCGCGCTCAGCACACTCAGAAGACAGAGGCTCCTCTGACAGTGATTCGGACAGTTCCCAGGACCGCGATGAAACTCCGAAGCCATTCGTACCAAAGCTCGCTCACTTGGTTCAGCCATTGTAAGTATTCTAACCCTTCCCACCACCAGTACTGTACACGAAAATGTCCTTTGCTAATATTCACAGTATGGGTGTCGAGGGGGGCGGGAACACTTTCCCCGGCGTTTGCATGCCATACGGCGTTGTTAAACTCGGAATCGATATGCTCCCACCGGCTGGTGTAGCTGACGCGTACTCGGGATACTATCCTCGCGGCCGGGTCAAGGGATTCTCCATGATGCATGAATCGGGGACTGGTGGAGCGCCGAAATATGGCGTTGTCTCACAGTACCCGGTTACTGGTGCACTGGAGAATCCACTGGTCGATCACGCTGTTGCTCGAGCAGTGCCGGATGAAGCGGCTCTCGGCTGGTACAAGGCTTCGTTAGAGGGCGGGATCACTGTCGAGTTGGCAGCCAGTCACCACGCCGGAATCCTTAAACACACCTTTCCCGCCATGGCCACAAATGCTTCGGTGGCGGGGAATCATGTCATTGTGGATGTGTCATACCACCTGCAGAGTTTCCGTGGACAAGGCATTGGGCAGAATTATGTCGAAGGGAGCATTAAGGTGGACAGCAACGGGTACGAAGGTTATGGTGTTTACAACGGTGGTTGGAATTTAGGTGAGCTCAGTATGGTCCAGGAGAGAAAGGTCTTGGCTTCGCTGGAAAACCCATAGGGATCGATGAAGCTAACCTGAAGGCAAAATAAAAATAAAAACTACGGTAGGTGAGAACTGGAAGATTTACTTTTGTGGAAAATTCCGAACAATCCCGGTGCAGGTGCGTACATTTTCGGGAACAGGTGAAGTGTTGGAATCCTACGGAGGGACCTCCGCCATCTCTGGAACAAAGAGGGTTGGCGCCGTCTTCTCATTCGGCGCATCCCGAAACATAACCCACCCACTTGCTGTAGAGTCAGATATCGGAATATCCTTCATCTCGGCGGAAAAGGCATGTAAATTCATTCAGTCAGAAATTCCGCCAAATCAGCCTTTCGGAACTCTTGTCAACTCCACCAAACAGACATGGGAGGAGGAAGTCTTGTCGACTGTTTCTACCGCTGAGGTAATCTTCGGGTTCTGATGCTCTATGGTGAGAGAATAACCAAAAGAAAACAAAAAAAAACTAATGCTGCTATCTTTAGACCGATGACGCGAAGCTCAAGCTCTTGTATTCGGCGATTTATGGCATGTACATCGTTCCCTCGAATAGGACGGGAGAGAATCCAAAGTGGGAATCTTCCGAACCTTACGTAAGCCACCGATAGCCCTCGAAGTAGTGATCTGGCACGGGCGTTAGTGATGAGTATCTAGAGCTAATCCGAAAACCAGTATGATGACACATTCACCTTCTGGGATCTGTTTCGCTCTCACACCCCATTGATGCACATCAGCCAGCCAGGGCGATACGAAGAGTACATCCGCTCCACAATTGATATCTGGCGACACGACGGGTACACTCCCGACGGGCGGTCTTCAAACTTCAACGGTCGGGTCCAAGGAGGTAGCAACGCGGATAATGTTCTCGCAGACGCTTATGTTAAAGGCGTTCGAGGAAGGATCAACTGGGAAGATGGCTTCAAAGCAATGGTCAAGAATGCCGAGATGACCCCGGAAAACAACAACGACCAGATGGCTCCCGACTCATCGACCAAGGAGGGTCGAGGGGCTCTACCGGACTGGTTGGAACGAGGGTACATCACGACAAAGTACTCTAGAAGCGTGTCTCGGGCATCCGAGTATGCGCTGAATGACTTTGCCTTATCGCAGGTTGCCAAGGGCCTGGGAAAGACCGCCGAATACGACAAGTACCTGGGGAGGTCCAGGTAGTAGTGTCTTTATTCCACCAGAAGTATTGCGCCTTATAGTGACGTGTATTTAGGAATTGGCGCAACCAATGGGATAACAACTCTATGGCTTTCGGCGGGGAATTCACGGGGTTCTTGTCGCCAAGGGACATTAGTGGAAATTTCCCAACGCCGCCCCAGGACCCATTAAGCTGCGGCGGTTGTTACTGGCGTGATGCTTACTATCAAGCTCTCCCATTTGAGTACTCTTTTGGCGCACATCATGACATGGAGACGCTCATCAAGTACATGGGTGGTGAGGAGAAGTTCGTCGCACGATTGGAGAAGATGTTTGAGCCCGGTCAGAGCCCGACTGGTTCCCCGAGATTTGGAAAAACTATATTTAACCCTGGGAATGAGCCAAGTATGTTTTCCACGATTACCACCATCTTTCCTCCTCTCGAAACGAATGACTGACACCTACGCCCCCTAGGCTTTGCAACGCCGTACCTGTTCAATTACGCTGGGCGACAAGACCTTACAGTCGAGAAGTCGAGATATATTGCCAAGACCTACTACAACTCTGGCCCCCAAGGCCTCCCAGGGAATAGTGATGCGTAAGTGCAATCCACCCAAGCCGAATCGGAACCTATACTAACACCTCCCGCCAGTGGAGCGATGCAATCTTGGCTCGTTTGGAACATGCTCGGCCTATATCCTATTACCGGAACAACCACCTTCCTCATTGCCTCGCCTTGGTTCTCAGACCTAACACTCAGCCTCGGAAGCCCTTCTAAGACCGTGAAAATCACTTCGACCGGCGGTAGCGAAACTGACTTCTTCGTCCAATCCGTCAAACTGAACGGGAACAATTGGGACAAGAATTGGCTCAGCTGGGGCGACCTGTTTGAGAAAGGCGGGACGCTAGAATTCGTCCTCGGGGCAGAAAGGACAAAGTGGGATACTGGCGAGAGACCGCCGAGCTTTGCTACGTAAATATTTTTCTTCGTTCTTTGTATCACTCTTATTTGTAAATCGTCTTATCTTTCCTCCGGCTACATGTATATATGATACCAACAGTTCGCTCATGGCTTTTTTTTTGGATTTATAGGAGTTTTCTCTCTTTTTCCTCCTTTTCCCTCCCTTCCTTTCTTTCTGACACTGCATGAGGATGGGTGTTTGTTCATGTTTAGCATTACATATCTCTCGCGGCCACGAGAGCTCGAGATTTAAATTTGGTAGTAGAATACCCCTAATAATACTTTTTTGGAATATCATATAACATGACACGGATCTCTCCACGTCCCGAGTCACTTCTCGGAAACCGTGTGCACCCTCCTGCGCCATGTCCTATCATCATGTGAGAGTCTAACGCAGTAGTCGTTCCAAACCCGAACCCGAACCTGGAAACCAAGCATTCCTAATCCTTCCGCCGGGCAGAGCGTCTCGTGATGATGACAGGGCCATTGGGGATATAGTCCTTATCTTGGCAGGGCGCAATGATACGATTAGAATTTTTGCCTACTACAGGGGTGGCTCGCCTGAGATCTCGGAGAGCATTTTTTGGTAGATCTAATCAACTTCCACTACGTGTTCGATGTTGGAACGCTTGGTGGGCAGACCTTCCGCCTTAGCCCATGGGATCTGCTTTGTTTCACGCCTACTACTCGAGTACCGGCCCACAAGGAGAAAGCGAAATGACCTCCTTTCTCTTGTCGCCATGCCCTCGGTTGTAGGGTCTAACAATGAGGTCCTGTTCCCTTTCTCCGTGAATGGCCCAATACGTATTTATCCTTGCTGTGTTGATGGTATTATTGCCGTCCAAAAACTGTTACCGATAGGATATAAAGCCTCTTGGAATGCTAGATATTCAAATATCTATACTGTTGGCCGTGTTGGATACCCTAGTTTATTGGCTTTCTCTCATTAAAAAGGTTCGTGGGGTTTCGTATGGGTTTCGGAGCTAGCTGTTCGGATATATATACATATTATCCTAGTCTCTCCCTGAGTATTGCCTCCGCTGGCTATCCGGTCCATCATTTCTCACGCCCACTTGTGGTCACCCACGGTGGTTTTTCACTCTCACCACATTATCCTTAAGAGGTATCCTTAGGGTTAGCTACAAGGAGGCGTTCCTGACTCCTCGGTAGAGTGAGCATTTGGGTCTGAGGAGCAAACCCACACGAGGCACGACGCGCCACCACACAACACCGTACGGCTACCAACAACGGGCCTGCCTGCGAGAAGCCGCTAGCTGGGCAAGCAATAGGAAGCTCAAATGGTGTAAAGGGGACGCGAGCAGCGAGAATTACCAGACCAGGGTGGCATTGCAATGCCGGACGGATGCCCAGTTTGTATCAAATATGACGAGGCGAGCCTATGATACATAGAGCTCCACAAGAGCACAGTTGCCAGGTATTTGAGCTTTGTGGTGCGGGTTGCTGTTTCCTAACTGAATACCTAATCCCACATAAGAAGTTTAGGGTGTCATTCAAACGCTATGTCTTGAGAACTGCGGCGTCGGGGCAGTAGACACGGGAGGAACCAGGGTAGAAGGAAAAAAAAGTCCTCAATAGTTGCCCTCGGGCCATAGAAACTGCAGGAGTTTTCGCCGCGATTAAGGGGGTAGAGAAGCGATTTCTTGATTATCTAGCCTGCTTTCGAGAGGCGGATCACCGAAGCTATAGGAGGGGGAGCATCTCTATCCGAACATCTCTCCAATTCTGAATAAAGGAATGAAAACTAGAGAAAATTTATCAGTAGTAGAACCTAAGAAAGGAACCAACTTATACGGAGACGTCCCCAATTGGGAGCTGGAGTAACAAGTTTAATAACCAAGATGGAATGGAAGATGATTGACCATCTTAAGGCTCTGACATCTCGAACCCTCCCATCTTTGAAATCAGAATACTGTCCACGGAGCCAGAGGTTAAACTTCCTTAGCTGCCGGCGTCACGGCATTGTTAGTCTAATTGTACAGTTGGAGGTAGCTATCGTCAAACACCCGGGACCCCCCTTACTTGGGCTCCATTCCCACAATCATTTCGATACTTATATGCTTAGCTCCATGAAGCAATAAGCTAGCTCAAGTACAGAAGCAAAATGGGAAAATTAAGAACTTTGACAAGACTTTAGCATGAGCAGTATCATACTCGAGCATACCGTCTGTCCCACCCCTAGAGTATTTTATTTTTCTTCTTATTTTTATTTTTATTTTTATTTTTATTTTTTTCCCAGGAGGTGAACTGGGCCTATCCACATTGGTGCAGGACTCCTTCCGTTTGTTTTGTGCCACGGGGAAGGGAGAAATCTTGTTGGCACTAGGTACCAGTAGCTACTCATGGGCGTTGGGGTTGCGCAGTAGGGTTTGGCATATGCTAGGGAGCGAGGCTTGGCACACATGTATTTCTCTTAACTAGCGGCGTCGTAGTTAGGAAATACACAAGTCATTCTTTCACCACCACGCACACACTACAGGTTATGAGCCTCTGTGCTTACGATTGACAGGACCAGTATAAAAGCAATCGTCTACGGGTTTACGGCGGTTCTTTTCTGTCGTCCTCGTCATCTTTATTTTATTTAATCTTTTATCCTCTCTTTTCACGGTTTTTACATGGCGAGAGAGTGTTCGGGCCCACTATCTAGATTAAAAATGTCACAACTACTAGATACGCAGTTGGCCGGACGTTCAACGTTTCCTCTTTGGGGGGACAACAACTTCGGCCCATGGCGGCAGCGCATGTCTGATCAGCTGAAAGAGCTGGATCTATGGTGGATTGTTTCTGGGCGGGAGGTCGCCCCAGCCGGAACTGGTATGGATGCAGCAGCGGTCGAAGTGCATGACAAATGGCTTCGGCGATGCTTTCGAATCACGGTGAAGATTCGCAATACAATGGAACCTCACATTTGCGCCCAGTACACATCAGACACCTATAACGAGAACCCAAAGTCACTCTAGGACAAGCTAGCGGAAAGCTACCGCAAGGAGCTTGGTCTCGAGCTCTACTATTTCCAGAGGTCGCTGTTCGATTGCACTCTAGAGACACACGGGACAGTGGCGAAATACGTCCACAAACTCGATAGGATTATCGAATGCCGACGTGAAGCCGAGGAAATCATTAAGGCACGCGAGAAGACATTCTACTTGCTTAATGGACTCCCTGCATCCTGGCATGAGTGGCGGGACCTGCAGGCTACAGTAGTAAAACCTGATCAACCCGACGAGCTTATCGCAGCTATCAAAGCCCGCGAGATGAGCCTCAATCGTGACCGGGAGGCCACAAACGATACAGTCCTGGCTGTTGGCAGCAAGGGTTATAGGGGTAGAACCGGATCTGGATATGGAAGAAGCAAAAAGGTTGAACGCAACCATTCCTGGGGTAGGAGCAGGCATGATACGAACGAGACCTTAACCTGCTATTACTGTCAGAAAAAGGGACACAAACGTAATGAGTGCAGGAAGATGAGGTCTGATCGGGCGAGCGGAGTGGAGCAGGATAAGGCGAACACACTCACCGAGTCGATGGTAGAGTCTATGTCGGGCACCGTGAGCAGATCGATATTCACAGCCTTCAGCTCCCTCACATTCCCCGCAAGTCAAGGTTAATGGCCGTTGGACAGTGGTTGCAGCACCCATGTTACCGGGATGAGGGAGTATTTTTCACGATACACCTCAATTGCGCCTGGAGAACACAAAATTCGAGTCACCAATAATGTGGAGATCGACGCCCTCAGGACAGGTGAGATTATGCTCCATGTGCGAGACCCAAGAACCAAGCATGGTAAGAGCTTAGTGATTCCCAGTGTCCTACACGTACCAGAATGAGGAAAGAACAGTTTGCTGTCTGTCTCGCAACTGCGCGGTTCAGGTTACTTTGTTGATTTTCACCGGATGGGGGGAGCCTCTTTCCAGACAACGGACAGATTGGACGTTCCATTTGAAGAGGTCAATGGAATCTACATTCTACGAGGAAACTCAGCAGAAGACAAAGAACATGCGATGGCTCTCGAGCAGAATACGGCGGACTCTGAGAAAACCGGGGCTCAACAGGCAGCCCTCTGGCATTTTCGTCTCGCGCACTTGGGACTTGACGTGGTGCGCAGACTGTCAATGGAAGACAATGCCATACTAAGACTACCGGTGGTGCCGCGTTGCGTGTGTACTGGATGTGTCAATGGAAAGATAATATGGAAACCTTTTCCATCTTTGCTGGCTAGCTCACGAGCATCCGAGGTACTTGGGATCGTTCACAGCGATATTACAGGACCAGTGAGTCCTAACTCACTCGGGGGAGCGGTCTATCTTATTATGTTTACAGATGACTTCACACGGTTCAAGGTTGGATACCTTATCAAACGAAAGTCTGACACTTTGAAGTGCTTTAAGGATTACAAGCCACTGGCGGAGAAGCATCACGGAATGCCGGTACAGAGACTACATACTGATGGTGGAGATGAATATACCTCCAATGAGTTCACCCATCTCCTGCAACAGGAAGGAATCGAGGCGCAGCGCACCACGTCCTATACACCACAGTCAAACGGCATGAGTGAGAGGGCCAACCGGACGATCATCGGAATGATACGAGCTCTTCTGCATGCAGTTAGCGCACCCAAGGAGCTTTGGGGTAAGGCTACGATGACTGCGATCTACGTATGGAACAGGCTTCCCTCGAGGGCTCTTGCACGCGGACGAACAACCTATGAGATGTGGTTTGGGAAGAAACCGTCTTATGACAATCTACGCGTCTGGGGATGTGTCGCATATGCTCAGGTCCCCAAGGAGAAATGCAAGAAGTTGGACCGGACAGCCCAGAAATGTATGTTCGTCGGGTACACTGGCATGGCACAGCAGTATTGACTCTACGATCCTAAGAAACAGCAGATAATTCTCTCGCGGGACGTAGTTTTCGAGGAGGCTACGTCATATTACCCAGTCAAGATCAGCAACGGGACGCCCCAGGCATGGTTTTACGCCCCTATAGTGCAGCCATGGGAAGAACATCTAGTGTGGGGAGACGAGTTTGATGGCGAGGAACCTGACTTCAAGATGCTGGACCGCCACCAGTCTGAGTCTAATGAAGAGATGGAAGATGGGGAGGATACAGATGGGTCAGTGGATGAAGTTGGAGAGGAAATGGTACAAGCACAAGTATCCGGGCCGGAAGCAGGCAGGAAGGCTCCGAGGATAGTACGAGAGCTGGAGGCTGATGGGGATAGCAGCTTCTAGGATACATGCAAGGGGAAGCTACCAGTGGTACATGAAGGGAGACGAACA